AAAAAAAAAAGAAAAAAGCCCCCCAAACAGAAGTCAGTGTTTTAAGCCCTCTATCGTACTGTCCCTTACAGTTGCCTCTCCTCTTGGTGGCTTCAGCCTTCTTTGCACACTGCACTCCTATTACCTGCTATTTGTTGCATACCATTTATTGCAGCCACTGTATGTTTAACCTATAATTCCATGAGAAGAGTTACATTTCCTGGTTAATAGCTAACAGAATCTATCCAAGATCACACAGACAGTAGGAAGGGAGATGGGCACTTGAATCCTGTCTTTCTCATCCAGAACCCACTATCCAATTTGCTTCACTGCTGTGAGGCATATGAGTAAGGTCCTTGAGACCCCAAATGGGGCTGGGGTTAGCCTAGCACATTTTTCCTACTAAGCCTGTTCTGCTAATGACAGCTGGGGGGAAACAACTCTCTTAAGAGGGACCATTCTCACAGGAACCCACCAATATAGCTCAGGGGCACTTGAATGTGCTACATGACATTTAATTAGGTGGTATATTCATTTCTGCAAATAGAGAAAGAGAAACCTCCCATAGGCTTCCTTAGCAATTTTCGAGAGTCAGTCAACTGAACTCCCCCCAAACTTTCCTAATAGTGCACACACATTATTACCGTGCTCCATGGTTACCCTTCCCTTCCGGTCCCTAGACACCAGAGGAAGTGCTCATTTTCGATATGTCTGTTCACCTTGGGTATGGTTTGAATGAGTGGAAAAGGTGGGAGGAATACTGGATCAGACATGGGACTAGATGCCTGCTTGCCTGTTAACAGTTCCTTCTAATTTGTTCTTTGGCAACGTGGAAGGTAAGTGGTATTAACATTTTAAAAATAAGGCTGAGGTTAAAAGATCTCCAACAGGTAGCTGGATAAAAATAACTTCAAAGCAATGGTCCATATGTTCACAAAATTCAACTTTTCAGAAAGAAAATCTCGTTTCCTTTGTGTTCTTTTGAGCTGAATGCTTCTAACTTATTTTACTTTTCAAGAAAGTTTCAACACCCAACAAAAGGAAAACGAGCAGATGCTGTGATTTCATTCGAGTAGATATTAACTGATGAGGATAGTTTTTAAGGACCAAAAGGCAATTGTAGAGACTTCTTTACATTTAAAAATAATGCTGAGTCTTCTGGGGATTTCACAGAAGCAGTTAGCAGTCTCGTCTTGTAACAGGAAATAAGTTAGAGATTTTTTTTC